GGGGTTAGGGCTTCAGGGGTTTAAGGGTTTAGGGCTTTAGGGTTAAGGGCTTTAGGGTTTCGGGCTTTAGGGGTTTAGGGGTTTAGGGTTTAGGGCTTTAGGGGTTAGGGCTTTAGGGTTTCGGGCTTTAGGGGTTTAGGGTTTAGGGCTTTAGGGTTAAGGGCTCTAAGGGTTTAGGGGTTTAGGCTTTAGGGCTTTAGGGGTTTAGGGTTTTAGGGCTTTAGGGTTTAGGGCTTTAGGGGTTTAGGGCTTTAGGGTTTCGGGGTTCAGGGTTTACGGTTTAGGGGCTTTGGGTTTAGGGTTTAAGGCTGTAAGGTTTAGGACTTTAGGGGTTTAGGGCTTAGGGCTTTAAGGGTTTAGGGGTTTAGGGTTTAGGGGTTCAGGGTTGGGGTGTTGGGGTATAGGAGGGTACCGTGTTCGCCATTTATTTCTTCTCTGTTGGTTTCGAGGCTTGGAGGTTTAGGGTTTAGGGTTTAGGGCTTAGTCTAGGACATTTTCATGTGGGTAGTTACCATTATAGGAGCCTTATAGAAGGTCTATATACCTTATAGAAGCCTTGTAGAAGCCCTGTATACCCTACACTCCCCACCTGTAGTGTCCTGAAACTTAGGGTGGCTCGCAGCATCGCATGCTTCCCTGAACCCTGGACCGCATGACAGGACTCGACAAGTATCAGGCTTTATACCCAGAGAACCCAATACCCCTTAATTAAGGAATATACCTTAAATCATAATATTAGGGCCCTTATAATTTAAGAAAACCCTAAGTTTGGGAGCATCAGGATGCCCTTACTTAGAGAACCCAATACCCCTTAACCTCCAAGTATACCTTAAATCACAATATTAGGGCCCCTATAGTTTAAAGTATATTCCTTAATTAAGGGGTATTGAGTTCTCTGAGTACCCCTCCCTGAGGGCCATCCTCGTGGCTTTAGAGCAAGTTCTCCGAGCTCTTCAACATCAAGGTGCCCTGTACCCTGATGACTCCTTTGCTTTAACCTCAAGATTGTTTGGAGGATTCAGCTTACACGGTTTTGGGGATGGGACGGCTTGAACAATCGCAGCTCAATGCTAACATGCCGGTCAGAGTTACGATCTATTTGAAGAAGACAAAGAAGCTTATCGTCATGATTCGTGACAGTCGTTGTATGTCCTCGTCAACATCGGTTTAGGGTTTACTTGGAGGGTCGGGGGACTTAGTAACTTGTTATTTTATAGACTTATAAGTACTATAACCCCAATTAGGGTCCCTTTTAGGGTACTTATAAGTCTACTTACTTATTACCTACTTACTAAGACCCTCCAAGTAGGGTTTGGGGTTTGGGGTTTAGGCTTTAGAGTGGCTGGCATAGTCATGTTAGGGCCAAGCCAATGATGCCCAGGAGCCAGATTAGGGTTTCCGAAAATATAGGGGGCCCTGATATAGAGGACCCTAAATAGTAGGATCCTTATTCTAAGGACCCCAAAATAAGGATACCCTAGGGGACCCTAATATAGAGGACCCTAAAATAGTAGGGTCCTTCTTCTAATCACCCCAAAATAAGGATACCCTTATTTTCGGAAACTCCCGGATAGATCACTATCTTACGGATTTCAGGTTGGGCCCGCACCCGTGGTTGGCCAAGGCTACAGACACACACCTTTAGGGTTTAGGGGTTAGGGGTTTAGGTTTTAGGGGTTTAGGGTTTAAATTCTGACATAGTTTCAGGGGCTTGGCCTAGCACACGTAACACCTGCGACAGAATTTCTTTAAAAATTCCAGCTCCATCCAAGGGCATGGTTTGCTGTCGGATCACAGGGCAGGGCTTTGGACACTCATGAGCCAGAGAGCAGAATTCATCGGGTGCTTGGAGGTTCATGGGTAGTTATAAGTGGGGTTATAAGTTATAAGTAGGGTAACTATACTTATAGCCCACATTGCGGGACTTATAACCCCATTTATAAGTACCCATGGACCTTCAAGTGGGGCTATGTTGGGTTGGACTGGATGGAAAGTGAGGCGGGGTGGGCTGACCTGGATTGCCGCTGCGGAATAGACAGTCATGGTATTCCTTCCGAGTCCGCACCTATTTGTAGTGTAGTGCTCCCCCCCCATAGCCTAATCCAATCATCCTGGCGCAGTTGGAATCCCCAGTGCCCCAATCCGAAACCTAAACCCCCAAATAAGAATGACCAAATCCACAACCCTAAACACCCTCAAGACTAAACCCTAAACACCCTCAAGACTACACCCCTGTTGTGTTAGGGACGACGCTGCGGTTTCGGCCCGCGGCATCCCGGCTGCTTCGCCGTCTTTGCGACGCCTTCGGCCAGGCGACGCGGAGAGACGCGGTTTAGGGCTTTCCTTAACCCCAAAATATACTATAGTTTGTTTATCCCTAAACCCTAAACCCTAAACCTTAAACCGTGGATGCTGAAGAGTTGTTCTGAAGAGTATCAGATTACGAGCCCCGCGAACTTTCCGAAGCTGGAAAGGCTTTGGGTAAGTGCGAAGGCCACCCCAATCACTCATGAACGGTACCGGAGAGTATTGGGAAAGCTGTCTTGGATGGCCCTGACCCTAAACCCTAAACCCTAAACCCTAAATCCTAAACCCTAAACCCTAAACCCCTAAACCCTAAACCCTAAACCCTAAACGCTGTCTTGGATGGCCCTGACGAGGCCCGACTTGCAGTTTGTGGTTGGTTTCTTAGCGAGGAGTCAGTCGAAGCCGGACTCCAGGAACGAAGACTGCATGCGTGCAGTTTTGTGGTGGACTTTGACCTTGGGTGATATGGTCCAGAGAATCCCCGCAAAGTGGGTCGACTATACTCCGTCGTCTGATGTTCGCACGATTGATTGCTTTTGTGAATTCATAGTAAGGGACTATAAAAAGGCAGGTTCTTTAGGGTCCAGGTAGGGTTTAGTATTTGAGGTTTAGAGTGTCGGGCTTGGGATCTTTAGGGCTTCATGGGGGGGGGAGGGGGGTTTAAGATCAAGACGCCGTTTAGGGTTTAGGGTTTCGGGTTTAGGGTTCTGCCGGGGAGGCAGCATCCCTGAAATCTAGGGCATTGAAGACTTAGTACCTGTCGTAGCTTGGGGTTGCAGAGTCTGTGTGGCATGACCTCCCTTCCCCTCCCGGTCCAATGATTTAGCAGTGCTGTTCTGAACTAGAGCCAGGGTGCTATTCTGAACTTGGACAATTTGGACCCTAAACCCTAAACCCTAAACCCTAAACCCCTAAACCCCGAAACCCTAAACCCTGAACCCTAAACCCTGTTGACCCTAAACCCTAAACCCTAAACCCTAAACCCTGTTGACCCTAGAACTCTCAAGTGCATCTATTGAAGCGGCGGCTTCGCGGCATCAAGGCCTTAAGCTTAGGAACCCAAAAAGGACATAAGCATAAGCATTTCAAGGGATATCCCTACCTTATTGGGCTTCATTATAAGGGGGGTTTATATGGGATATCCCTATCCTAATTTTTGCTTATGTGCTTTTTGGGGACCCTATAAGCATCAACCCAAACTACTGCAGCCTACAGCGAACGGAGTTCACCGGCAACCCAGGGGCCGTGGCTTAGGGCTTACTTGGAGGTTCATGGCTAGTTATAAGTGGGCTTATAAGTCCCCTAATATGGGTTGCAAGTATAGTTACCCTACTTATAACCCCAGAAAATAACTACCCATGAACCTCCAAGTAGGGATACCACTGTAACGGTCAGGCTTGAGCGGTTCCGCTCTGAGGCTTCCTTGTCGCAGTGTGCAGTTGGGGTGTTATGAGTTGTCGGCGCACATTGCGGAAGCCTGAAACCCCAAAACGGTTGAATTCCAAAGCCTCAGAGCCCTAAAGTACCCTAAACCCTACTTAAAGGATCGTGGGACTTAGTAAGTAGGGTTATAATTAGGGTAACTATACTTATAACCCCAATTAAGGGACTTATAACCTTACTTACTAAGTCCCATGATCCTCCATGTAAACCCTAAACCCCTAAAGTCAAAGCCTTGAACCCTGACCCTAAACCCTGAACCCTAAACCCTAAACCCTAAACCCTAAACCCCCAAAACCCGAAAGCCCCGAAGCCTCACAGCATCTTGGAGCCTAGAGAAGCCCTTTCGCACCTCAGGTCGTCCTACTACACGGAACTGTTAAAGGGCTCTAAGCCAACTACTACAACCATAAGCCTTCGATAACTAACACGGCGGCCTCAACAACAAGAAGAGGTTTTGGTACATACTCAAGCCCAAACCCCTAAGCCCTAAGCCTTTAAACCCCAAACCTAACCCTCAAACCGAAACTCAAGCCCAAACCCCCAAGCCCTAAGCCCTTAAACCCAAACCCAGAACCTTCAAACCTAGACTCTAAAAGCCCCTACGTTTTTTACAGCTCCCTCCAGGGTCCCGCACAACGCGGCCCCGATGCCCTGTGCGACATCCACATTTCCTCCCAAACCACAGGAATCTTGGGGTGTAGTGGTTTACCAACTTCGGGGTTAATATAGGGGCCTTAATAATTAGAATAGGGTTTGGGGTATATTATACCATAAATATAATCTAGAGCCCCCAAAAGCCTATTAGGATTATTAAGGCCCCTACAGTACAGAACCAAGAGCCCTGAACTCGCTAAGGTCGAGGCGAGGGTGGGGGACAAAGAGTTCAGGAGTTCGGGGCTTAGGGTTTTAGGGTTTTAGGGTTTAAGGTCTAGGGTCTAGGGTTTAGGGTTTAGGGTTTAGGGTTCAGGGTTCAGGGTTCAGGGTTTGGGGTTTAGGGTGCTTGTGGCACAAGCGCGCCCCTTCAACAACCCAACCGAACCACTATAAAGCCCACGCACATCCACGCACCTGCGATGTCACTTGGAAATTCATGGGTAGTTATAAGTAGGGTTATGGGTCCCCTACTATGGGTTATAAGCAGAGTTACTCTCGCTATAACCCCAACTATAACTACCCATGAACCTTAAGCCCTAAACCCTAGCCCTTATAGTAGACCCCCCTGTAACTACCCACGAACCTCCAAGCAGGGGGACGACCGAGAGCTTTGGGACCAGACGGCGGCACTGCTGCTTTCATGGACCGAGCACCTCGCAGGGCAGGTGGGGAACTGGTTCCCGGGACCTGCACCTAAGCTTTAGGGTTTAGGGTTGGGGGTTTAGGGTTTAGGGCTTTAGGGTTTTAGGGTTTAGAGTTTAGGGATTCGGGTTTAGGGTTCAGGGTTTAGGGTTTAGGGCCTAAGCTACAACGGGTAATTTAGGGTTTTGGGGGTTCTTGTAAGGGTTCTTTGAAGGGTTCTATAAGGGTGGCTATAATGTAGGGCCGTAATAAGTAGAATGGGCCCATTGTACCAACTTATAATAAGGAACCCCCCAAAATAGTATTGGTAACTATTTAGCCCCCTACATTAACCATACTTGGAGGTTCATGGGTAGTTATAAGTGGGCTTATAAGTCCCCTAATATGGGTTGCAAGTATAGTTACCCTACTTATAACCCCAGAAAATAACTACCCATGAACCTCCAAGTAGGGGCAAGGGCTCGGGTTGCAGAGTTAGGTGTGTTGGGTTGTACAACCCGCTCAAGCTTTAAAAGTCTCTTCACCGTAAGCTACACTCGTCTGAGTAGTTCAGGCGTTTTACCCAAAACCCTACACCCAAAACCCCAAACCCTAAACCCAAAACCCCAAACCCTAAACCCCAAACCCTAAACCCCAAGCCCTAAACCCATCGCCCGGCGGGCGTAGGGTTCAAGACACTGACGTTCGGCTGCCAAGCCTTAAAAGGGCCTTAAGAATTAGAAAAGGTTTTTGGAGTAATATAGGGGCCTTGATAATTAGGATAGGGTTTTGGGGTATATTATACCAGAATCATAATAAGGAACCCCAAAATAGTATAGGTAGTTATTCAGGGCCCTGTATTATTGTATAAGGCATATACAACAAGAAGCTATTGAAAGCATTGAGGGTTTAGGGCCAGTTTCGGGCCTATTCCGCATCTTTCTGCCATGTTGGGTGTTTGGGGCGAGAGTTGTTTATACGCCAACCTCAGACACCCTCACCTTGAATCCCACGGTGAGAAAAGATGTTTATGTGGCAGTCGCGGAAGCTGTTTCATCTTCGCGCATGTCCGAACTGTCCGGATTTGGCGTAAGCCTAGCTCGTCACCCTAGCAGGAATTCATATTCAAGGGCTCCTGAGCCCTGAAGCCGATCTGTAGGGTGAGGAAAGAGGGTGGTATTCTAGGTAAGGGCTCACACCATGAAACCATGGATCCCCAGGCACCAAACCCCAAGACCCCAAAGACCAAAGCCTTACACTCCAAGCATTGTTTGTACTTCTACCCCAAACTGCCTAAACCGTCGGTCATGAGTGTTGCTACTGCGCGGATTTCGAGTTGTTCACAGATGTCCGCAGTTCCACTGCTTAGGAGTACGATGGCGACTCTTATGCTGCCATTAGCAGTATCGTTATCATCGTTAGTGCAGCAGTATGCAGTAATTAGTAGTTTTTTGTGGGATCCACTGCAAGTTGCCAAATGGACAGGAATCCCATGCCACGTGGTGTCTTGTATGGTATTGTATGGTCTTGCAGTGCATCCATCCATCCTCCCTCCCTCCCCCCCTCCCCTCCCCTCCCCTCC